TAAGCTAAATAAACCTTTCTTCCCTTAACTTTGAGTGCTGAGTATTTTGTCTCACCAACGAGAGAAAAGTAACCAAGACGTTTGCCAGTAAATCGGGTATCGTCAGAAAAAACATTGGCTAACTGTGAGATCAACTCAGTCTCAGTCGGCAAGCCCATGCCATGCATGGGTGTTTCCACAGGTGGGGCTCCCTCAAGGCTGGCAGCTGTGGTCAGGAGCTCTGCTGGGACTGCTGTCTATTCTGAGTTACCCGCTTTGTGTCCCAACACCTTGGTCCTGTAAGCTACAAATGTGTGTCAGACAAGGATTCTACCATTAGTTTCCAGCTGCCACAGACTCAGGCACCTCTTCAACATGAGCACAGTCTAGTCAAGGATTTACTATGTACAGATGGAAGGGAGAATAAAGCAGAATAAAACAAGCCCCCATTTGGAGCCCCACTTTGCAGTAAGCCTTTCATTCTTCCACAAGTCTCTGTTTCCCAGAATCCTGCACCCCACTTCCCGCCATGTGTAGAACAGGTGAACCAGCATGTAACTTTGACCAGTCTCGTGACACCAGCTGATGCCACATACACAAGGAGGTGGAACAAATGCAATGTAATCTTCCACCCAATCAACAGACAAGACACAGGTGGACCATTAGACTCAGCCTTGACTGACTACATCCGCTGCAACTCAGAGGAAGTCTGACCTGGCTCAGGCTGGCTGTTTCCCACTGGACTGCCTGTGCTGTCTGACATGCAAAGGTTCTATTTTCAAGGAATAACCAGGACAGCCTTAGCACCCACCACCCCCTAAGCCCACCTTCCTGTCTAGTTTCTCCCACTGTATGATACACAACCGCTCTAGCCAACCTGCCAGAAACAAATCTGCCTGACAACATATGACTCAATCTGTGTAGCCAATCATAGCCAAACTTACTATCGGCTTTTGTACTTCCTGCTTGCAAGTCATATATAAATTCCTATTTAACCCAAGTTGGGGCTGGTGATTTGGAATTGGATTCCTCCAGTCCCCTGGCACAAGGAAAGTTGCTTTCAACTCCTTGGTGTGGCACCTTTTCCCTTTAGTTCAGCACGGGTTCTGGAACACTTCTGCATTTCCTGATTGCTTGCAAACCCTATAAAAACCCTGCATGCAGAAAATTCGGAGCCTACCTCTGGGAGGGGTCCCAGTCAGGACCACTGGCATCAACAAAACTGTGCATTCACCTGCAGACCTTGAGTGCCACTTGGTTCTTGGTCCTGGTCCGTTGTAGCACTGTGAGACAGGGTCTCACTGCTGGCTCAGTCACTCTTTGTGCTGGATTTACAGGTGGGCACTTAACAGTCTTGCAGGTAGATGGAGACAGGATCTCACCTCCTATGTGGCCCAGCTGGCCTTGAATTGGCCATGAGCCTGCCTCAGCCTCCCAAGTGCTAGGATTATAGGTATTTGCCATCACACCAGGCTTGTTTTTGAGCCTTGCTGTTGCCCAGGCAGCCCTTTCCTGGCCTCAAAGGCTCCTCCTGCTGCCACCACCAGGTATATACTAGGACCCCTGATGTCCTGTGACTTACTATGAACTCTGAAGAGAAAGGCTGATGAGCCATGCTGCCATGTTTAAGGCTGCAGAGGATTCTGGAGTCATTTACCACAATATGTTGGAGTGAAACTTTATGGAGTCAGTTGGATTGCAATGGTTCTATTTTTAGGCCACTATTTAAAGGTGTCATGGTGCTTGGTGACACACATGTAATCTCAGCACTTAGGAGGCTGAGGCAGGAGAATCACAAGTTCCAGGCAGTTTAGGCACCTTGGTGAGACCTGTCCCAGAAGTAAAAGGAGCAGGGGCCACAACTCAGTGCCGAAATCAAAATGCTCCCATGTGGAGAAACTCACCTGGACTTTGGTTTGCATGTGCAGTCCCTGCACAGCCACTGTCCAGAGGGCTGCACACCCACACATGCTGCTTGTACACCCCTGTGTACATTAGTGTGAGCCCCTGTGGACAGATGGCAAGTTGTAGCCCCTGCCCTCAGCTGGCTCTTTCAAGGCAAAAGTAGCCTCACCTGCTACAGCAGACATGCGGTGGTCCCATCCAGATCCATCTGCGACAGCAGACATGCGGTGGTCCCATCCAGGTTCTTGGTTGGCCTGGAACTCACTGTGCTGCTGCAGTGCATCCTGGGTTGCTGCAGACCACAAGCTAGAAACTGAGGCTAGGGGCTGCTTGAGGCTGATGCTCGGCCTGCCTCGTGGTGAGCCTGTTGGTACCTGGAAACTCCTGCCCAGGCTCACAGGGCGAGAGATCTGCCAAGGACGCTCTGGTTTTTAGAACAGCACAGCAGGAATGGTGGTAAGGTTAGCTTGGGGGAAGTTGGTTCCCTGTTAACCCAAGTCCCCGATCCTGCCACAGTGCTTTGCTCCCTGTCAGCTAACCCACAGCTGCCCCACCCCTCCTGTGGCACCTACCTCCTAGCCCTTTGTATGCTTCCCTTTGCATTTTGTCTTTTTGAGACAGGATCTCACCATGCAGTACAGGCTGGCTTTGAGCTCACTTTGTGGCCCAGGCTGGTCTTGAACTCACATCCTCCTGCCTCAGCCTCCCAAGTGCTGGGATTACAGGCGTGCATCACCGAGCCTGGCTTCTTTATGCATCCTCAATCTTGTCAGTCTTTCCTTCCATCCTTCACTGTACCCCTCTATAGGAAGCTGGGGGTCTTGGGATATAGTTAAGATGAGGGAGGTCAGGGCTGGGGATTTAGCTCAGCGGCATAAGCGCCTGCCTTGCAAGCAGGCAGTCATGAGTTCAAGCCCCGGTACCGATAAAAATGAAAAAGACAAAAAAAAAAAAAAAGATGAGCGAGGTCAATGGGGTGGCTGTGACAGGGCTAGCAATCACAAGACAGACCTGAGCAGACACCCTGAATGCTTGTGTCCCTACAGCAGATGCTGTGCCTTGAGCTGGGACTGCCGGGGGAGAACTGGGGGGCAAATAAACCTCTTTACCAGTCACTATCTCAGGCATTTTGTAACAGCACAGGAAGTCAAGAGCATGATGGGAAACAGGATCCACTATGTATGCACAGGTGTGGCGGGATCAGGCAGTTAGTGTAGGGGGCTGGTGACACCCCAACTCCCCAGGATATCGTGGGCACAGACACAGCCAAGGGAGCCACGAGCCAACGCAGTGATCAGATGGAGCTCAGGGCTTATCTGTCTGAAGAGATGGGACCTGCACACAGACACATCATTTTCTCTAGCAGTTCCCTCTTAACTTACAAAACACAGTCATCAGGGCCAGGGACATATCTCAGTGGCACAGCGCCTGCCCTGCAAGTGTGAGGTCCTGAGTTCAATTCCCAGTACCAAAAACTAAAATCTCAATACAGCTATTAAAATAAAGTAGTGGGGCACCCCGATAACCTCTGCCCTCAGAAGGCTGAGGCAGAAAAGTCACTTTGAGGTCAACCTGAGGTACATACATAGATCTGTCTCAAAAAAAGTGGCAGAATGGTGGGACAAGTGTAAAAGCGCTGTACAGGGACTAGTTTTGCTACATTCAAAAAACATAGGGCTGGGGATTTAGTTCAGCAGCATAAGCACCTGCCTTGCAAGCAGGCAGTCGTGAGTTTGATCCCCAGTACCAATAAAAAACAAAACAAAAACCCCTAAACATCTTCACTGTTTTCCACTCACACTGCATATGGTAGAGCTTAAAGAACCAGCTCCCTTACAACTGAGCCAAGCAGGACCCTGGGTGTGTGGCGCCCTCCTGGCTCTGCCTCCTGCCCCCTGGACTCAGTGAGGTCCCTGTGGAGCAGGCAGAGTGCTCATTGGCCCCTTGAGCCACAGGTGCAGCACCCAGGGTTACCAAGCAGGGGACTCCCCCCCACCCCCGTGGGTCTTAAGCAGCCTTGCGTTCCCATGAGGCCCACAGTGCCAGCTTCATGTAGCACAGCACAGGTTCGGCATCCGCACACACCCGCATGCCAGGGCTCAGACATGAGCAGCCATGCAAGGTGCAGTCAGGTCGCCAGGTGCCTCATTGGGTGCACTGCAGTGTCCTTGTATCCAGTTAAAGCATGTGAGTCACGGTGCTGTTATGTCTGTTTATTTACTTTCAATGATGTCATTATTTGGTTTGTGAGGGACTGAGGGTTGAATCTTTATTTTTTTGGACAGGATCTTGCTAAGCCCCCCAGGCTGGGCTCAAACTTGTGATCCTCCCGCCTCAGCCTCCAGGATTGCTGGGAATAAAGGCCTGCACCACTAATGCCTTGCTTGTGATTCTATTTTTATCCTAACTCATGGATCTGTGTGTCACATCTTCTAGGCTTTGGCCTAGAAGAGGACAAAGGGCTGCAGCATATGGCCATCCCCATCACAGAGACAAAGGCATCTGATGCATGACTTCAGGTGAGGTGCATGAGAGGCACAGACACCACCTGAAAACAGCAGGAGCCCATTTCTCTCTCTCTCTCTCTTTTTTTTTTTTTTTTGTCTTTTTCCTTTTTACTGGTACCAGGGATCGAACTCACGACTGCCTGCTTACAAGGCAGGTGCTTATGCCACTGAGCTAAATCCCCAGCCCAGCCACCTGAAAACAGCAGGAGCCCATTTCTCCTCCAAGGAAGGTAGGTGCTGGTGCTGCTGCTGGGCCGCTGCTCAGCACAAAGGGAGTGAGCCTGGTCTCTCACAGAACCCCGAAGGCAAGAGGGTAACAGACAGCACCAGCCCCAGCCTTGGCTTGCCCCAGCCTCCAGCATCTGTCTCGGGGGGGGGGGGGGCTAGGACACTCCTCAAGTCTCTTGATTGTCACCTCTGTCCAGTGTACACATTTGCTGTGGGTTTGTTTATCTTTTATTTTTTCAGACAGGGTCTCACAATGCAGTTCAGGCTGGCTTTGAACCAACTACAAAGCCCAAGTGGACCTGGAACTACAGTGATCCTCTTGCCTCAGCCTCCCAAGCATTGGGATCATAGGCATGTGCCACCACACCAGCTTGCTGTGGGTTTATGTACAGAATTAAATATCTCCTTTATTATTTTAGAAACCGTGATAAAACCAGATAGTCCCTTCTCCGCAGCAGCAAATCTTTCATTGGAAAAGGAAACAAAAATGTTAATATACAAATTTCAGTAACATCAGAAACTCCTGGCCCAGGGAAGGGATGCACTGGGAAGTAGCAGGGCAGGGCTACCCAGGCGTGTCTGTGTCACCTGGGAGGCTGAAGTCCCTGGCATGGACTCAGCAAGTCCTTTTATCTTTTTTTTTTTTTTTTTTTTTTGGTTTTTTGAGGCAGGGTCTCACTGTGCAGTTCAAACTGGCCCTGGAACTCACTGCATAGCCCAGACTGGCCTCCCACTCACACTCATCTTCGCCTCAGCCTTCCCAGTGCTGGGATGATTGGTGTGGCCATCATATGTGGCTTCAGCAATACCTTTTTCTAAATCACATCCATCCCATCATGCCTTCTTTCTACAGTGCTCTCGACAGGGGCCAGGATCTCTCTGGCATTGGGCAAGCTTTCATCACTGCGCTGCTCTGCAGCCTTTTATTTTATTCTGACAGTCTCAGTAAGTGGCCCAGGCTGGCCTCAGAATTGTGATTCTCCTGCCTCAGTCTCCCAAGCAGCAGGGACTCCAGGTGTGCACCGACATGCTGGCTGCCTCTCCCTACCTTGTACAAAGTAGTCTCCAAACTAGACACCGAAAACACAGATAAAGCAGGCACATCTCAGCCAGGGGCGCTAGGCCTCCCGGATATGCATGACAACGGTCCTCTAGTGAGTTGACCAAGTTTTGTAATCTGCCGAGAAATACAGTCACTAGAAGCAAGGACCCAGGGGCTAAGTGTCAGCCACTCTCCAAGTGGCAAGGTGGGCGGAAGGGTCCTGTGCAGCTCTGTCCCCCAAACATGGACATGGCTGCTTCCTGACACCGGAAAAGCCAGGGACCATGCAGGATGGCCCCACATGAGGTCCTATCATTCTCCTGATGCGATCCCGTTGAATTCAAACTTTTCTTTTTTGCGGTGGGGTCCCTCTGCTAGCCGGGCACTCCCCCTGCATCAGCTTCCCTAACAGTTGGGCCTGCAGGTGTAGCCACGGCAATGGGCCCCAGTTTATTCCTGAGCCAAGGGTCTGACCCGGAAAAGTGCATCCAGCTCAGTGTCCCCATCCTGGACCTGACAGGACACAACCAGATCCCAAGGTAAACAGCACAGAGCCAGTGGAGGCCAGGCCACAGCAATCCTGCTCCGGGTGTGATTGTCCTCAGCTGTGCAGTTTCCCAGTGGCGTCACTGGATGGTAGCCTCAAGGGGAGGAGCAGAGCAGCTCTGGCTGTGAGCTGGGCCTGCTGTCTCTGTTGTGCCCGAGATCAGCAGGGATCCGACCAGCATCCTGTAGGTTCTTACCCGGAGATGGCAGTGCCAGACTGGGGTTGGGGGTGGGGTGCAGCTGCGCAGTGGCCCAGGGCCCCAGAGTCCTGTGGCTGCCTGGGAGCATCCAGCTCAGCGAAGATAAGAAGGCTGAGGCAGGACAGCACCTTCCGGCCTGACCCCACAGACCTTGCTGTCCACCAAAGCTACTGCTCCAACTCCACCTACTGACCCAGGTCACCCTCCCAGCTCCACCCCACAGGCTGCCCTCTGCCCCCCAGGCAGGCAGCATTCACCAGCCTCTCCTATTCTGAGTGCTGCTCACCATGCAGGGGGACGGGGACAGTGTGGCCCAGAGCCTTGGCCAGCAGGGACTCTGCCCTGCCCTGTGCAGGCCATGCCCTGTCCCTCACCAGCGGATGTCACCGGTGTCAGGAGTGTCCACAGCGCTGCAGCTCAGACCTGGCCCTGGGTGCTACACATCATAGCGGTTCAGGGCATAGGAGCCAAGCTGTCCGGGCCGGCTGTACTGAAAGTGATCCGTAAGGATACCGCTGCGGCTGTACTGCAGGTCTCCATGAGGAGGGCAGAGGACGCCATTGTGGGGCCACTCCCGGCTGCCCAAGTCTGCAGCAGTCATGGGCAACAGCTGCTTCCGGGCCTGCTGGTTGGCATCGTACTTGGTCTGCAGGAAAGAGATCAAGGGCGGCATCAGCGCATCCTCTGGGGTAGGGGACCAAAGTCGATGAGGTCCGCACCCTTGGTCCCAGCTGCCCAGGAGGCTGAGGCAGGACAGTGTAACACAAAGGCCTAGGGTGTAGCCCGGTGCCAGGTGCCTCAGGTCTCTGTGTCTGAGAGGAGGGCCCAGGGAGGTGACAGCTGCCCACCTTGTTATACAGGAAGACACCCAGGATGGCGGTCAGCATGCCCAGCACGTTGGTGCTGGTGACTGGGTTGCGCAGCATGACCAGTGACACGGTGATGACCATGATCCTCTTGGTGGCATTGGCGACGGAGTAGCTGAGTGGGCTGATGAGGTTTAGGATGCTGAAGGCGATCACATTCTGTGCAAAGTTGCAGAAGCCACTAATGGCCAGGAGCAGGAGCGTCCAGGGCCACTGGGCCACATAGGTCTGCAAACACAGGGTAGGAACAAAGTCCATGGCTGGTAGGCCTTGCCCCACCCCTGCCTGGGCAGCTGTGCCACACTCATCATGGAGTGGGGATGTGGCCGCCTGGTGGCTGGAAGCAGAGAGCAGTGAGGGGACATGCAGGGGCCCCTGGGTTACCCTATGTCCTCCAGAGCAGGGCTTTGCTAATCTCAGGGATGTTCCACCCATCAGGTCACTCAGGATTCACCATCAGCCTTCCAGGCAAGGGGGTGCATGCCTATGATCCCAGTTCCCTGGGAGGCTGAGGTAGGATAATCTCAAATCCCAGTCCATGCTGGGCAACTTACTGGGATCCCATCTCAAGGTGAAAAGTAAGAAGGATTAGGACCAGAGTCAATGTAAAGCCCCGGTAACAAGCCCCCCTGCTTCACAAAGGAAAGAGTGAGGACAAACTGGCATAGGCTCTGTACAGGTGGCAGTAAGCCTTGTGTGGGGTCACGTGATGCCAGGGGTGTGGCATGGCGTGGCCTGGCCTAGGTGCCTACCCTCCTTTGGATGCTGCCGGCTGTAGGCGGGAAGGCAGAGGCTCTGAGCCAGGCCTGACCATAGCCTCCTCCTGTCCCTGGACAGGAGATGCTGCCACCCACTGCCTCGAGCCCGGCAAAACGTGGGCCTCTTGGGCGGTGCCCACCCCACCCATATGCCCATGCCACAGCCTAGGATGCTCAACTTCCACGCACTGAGCTCCTGGACTGTGCCAGGGTGCTGGGGGAGGGGGCACCCTGCTACCCGTGTAGACCAAAAAAAAAGGGAAGGAATCCACGTCCCTGGAGGCCTTGCAGGCTGGGGGCCTGGGCAGCGAAAGTGAGGTGCTTGGTTACAGTCACAGGGCACCTGCACAAGCCCACACACCCACCATATGCTCACCAGGTCGCTGCCCACAAGGAACGCAGAGAGGTCCACCAGCACCCAGGTGGGAATCATGAAGAACACGGCATGGCAGCCCAGGATGTTGAGCAGCCGGAGGTGGTGGATACGAGAGTCTCTCAGGACCTGCGTGGAGGGCGTCGCAGGAGAGGTCAGGACCCAGGAGCCAGACTCAAAGCCCAGGGCCCCAGGCCCCATCCAGGGCCCCCCCCAACCTGAACGATAAGCCGCCAAGCACATCTTGGAAGGCCAGGCAGCAGGTGCCCAGGACAAGCACGGCATCTGAGGTGAAGTGAGTGGAGAAGGGAAAGCAAGAACACCAACATGCAGTGGCCAGGAGGGTGCGGGGAGAGGAGCAGCAGTGTGGGGAGGGCATCGCTTCAGGCGCCCCAGGGTTGGTGGTGCAGGGTGGCCTTTCTGGACACTGCCCAGCAGTGCAGGTGAACTGACCCATTACAGGATAGGGCCTGGGGCCTGGAAAGCATTCTGCATAATGACAGCCATGGGGAAAGCTGGAATGGCCTGTGTTTGTGACAGGACAAGGGCCCTCGAAAGATAGAAAGGCCCTGACAAGGGCCCTCAAAAGGTAGAAAGGCCCCAACCCAAGAAGCAACTTGAAGCAGGTCTACACCTTGGCGTCCCAGGGACGCCAGGAGAAGCCGACCTTCACAGCCATTCCCTTCTGGGGTGCAGCTAACTACACAGTGTTCTGCTGGGCACAGCAGAGGCCCTGGGCTCCCCCTTCCCTCACACAGCTGGAACAACTCTTTCATGAGGGTTTTCTTTTTCTTAGTGTCCTGCATGTGTTAATTTTATAACAGAACAACACTGACTCCTTAAAAACACAAAGCAAACAAAGTGAGCCAAAAGCAGGCAAGTAGACCCCTGGTCCCCCCAGGATGACCCCCAACCCCCACCCTGGCCACACCTTCTTGGAGAAGATGTTCTGTAGAGAGAAGCACAGCGTGGCTGCCAGGGCGCTGAGCAGCCCCCACATGTCGAAGGACAGCTCGGTGACGGTGGCCAGCAGCACGCCGCTGATGATAGGGATGAGCGACAGATACACCTGGGAAGAGCAGTGCAGGGACACAACTCCGAGAACCTGCAGGGCACCAGGGCAGCCCAGGGAAACCCTGCTCCCTGTGGGTCTTGGTGTACCCTGACACTAGGACACCTCTCCCACCCAGCTTGGCCCCTCGTGTCCAAGAGGCAGGGCCTCTCCAATGCTCTGTCCAGCATGCAGTGGGCAGGTGACAGTGGTAGGGGTGGGGGGTGCAGAATCCCAGCATCTGTGTCAGATGTCCTCAGGCCTAGGTCACCCCCAGGTACCAGGAATCCTCTTGTTTATTGTGGTCCCTGGATTGGAATCTGGGTCTTCTATACCAAGCTGCATCTGTGCTGAATCTCTAGGCCAGGTCCTGTGGTCATTAAGCTGGTCAGGCTGGGCTCATGCATGCAAACCTCCTACCTTGGCCTCTCTGGGTGCCGGGCAGAAAATGGCCTCATAACCAGATGAAGACATAGTGAGCAGGGGTGGTGATGTCCCAGTGGGGTGGGTCACCTACCACACACTGCAATACTCTCATTTTTCCTTTTGCTCCAGAGTGAGTATGACCCTATACACCTTGCAATGTGGGTCCCCATGAGGCTGCCCTCCCCATGAGGTTACCCCACTGCATGCCTTAGAGGGCCTCTCCCATCTCTGCTCACTGTGTGAGGCTCTGGGTGCAATGTCCCAAACATGGAAACCTGATAAACGTGATGAGGTGTCAGGTCACACAGGCACACCTCCCGGGTGACTCTGACCCCTAGGACTAGGCCAGTCACATCTGACCTCACCCTGAGGCCAGCTGCAGGGCACACACAGGTCTGGCCTGGGTAAACATGCTGCAACAGAGCCCAGCCAGAGGCAGCCTAGTTTCTATAAGCTGATCCAGGGCACTGTGCCAAGTTACAAAAGCGCACAGTGTCCAGCAAGAAATAGGGGCGTTCCAGCGGGGACAACCGGACTCTGGTCTCCACTGAAGCCACAGCCCCGCTCCCCACAAGGGTAGGCAGAACTGGGCCCAGCACCTTACTGGTCTTTCACAGCTGAGACTTGGGGACTCCGCCCATGGTTGGCGTCAGATTCCCGTGCTGCCGAGTACCTCACCGGACCGCGCGGAGGGAAGCCCGCCAGGCCCTGGGTCCACTCCCGAGCCCACTGGAGGGACCCCGCCCAGCGGAGACCACCCCCAGGCGGCCTGCAGGGCGAGCCCAGGACTGCAGGCTTCTCTCGACTTCCTCATCCGACAGGAAGCCGGCAGCCCGCAGACACGTCACCCGCTGAGGACTGCGTCCTGTACCTCCCGGGGCGCCTACCTTGGTGCTCTGCTTCTCCTTCATGATGATACGGGACAGGAGGACCACCCAGATGGGCATGGTGGCCTTGACTGCGGAGAGAGGGGGCGGCACTCAGGCCCGCGTCACTCCAGGGCTCGCTCCCGGCCCGGCGCCTCCAGCCGGCTGGCGCATTCCTAGCCTCGCGCCGCAACCCCAGGCGCCGCCCTCGCCCGCTCCCCACCCCGGGCGCGACACCCACCGGTGTGCGCGTAGGACACGGGCACCTTCCAGATGCTGACGTGCGCCGACACGGACGCGAAGTACTTGCCGAAAGCGAGCGGCAGCACGTAGCGCGGGTAGAAGCGCGGCGGCAGCAGTGGGCCGGGCGGCGGGTGCGGGCCGGGCGCGGGCCCTGACACGGGCGGCGCGGGCGGCACGCGCCAGGCGCGCAGCAGCGGCGGGAGCCCGGCGCACAGCGCCAGGATGTGGCACAGCGACACGGTCACGGGGAACGGGAAGGCGCTGAGGATCACCTTGTTGACCACGTTGCCGCCCGCGCTTAGAGCGTACCACAGCAAGCACAGAGCCGCCACCCGCGCGCCCTCGCGCGCCCCGCCGCCGCCCGCCGCACCCCCCGCGCCCGCGGTCCCCGCCGCCGCCATCCTGTCCGCGGCGCCCTGCCCGCCCCTTCCCGCGCCCGACAGCCCGACGGCCCGACGCCGGCCGGGGGCGGGACCGGGGCGGATGCGCCGGCGGCGACGCTCCCCATTGGGCGCCGCCACCGCGCGTCACCGTCCCGCGCCGCCGACGCTCCCGCCACCACGTCCCGAGCGCTGGCTACGCCCCCGACGCGGTTCCGGTGGGCGGGACTGAGCCAGGGCGCGGATGGGGCGGAGACCGCAGGCAGGTGCCGGCCTGTGGGCGAGTGCGAATGGATCGGCGGTCCGACCTGGGCCTGGGTTGGCGGTGCATGGAGCGAACCAGGCTCTTGATAGGCTCGGCGGCGGCGGGCACAGAGCGGGAAAAGGTCTTCCTGGCCGCACTGTCGAGCGGGCGCCCACGGAGGGCCAGCCTGGGACCGCTCGGAACGCTGCGCGGTAGGAGGCCCAGCCCGGTCCTTCGGACAGCAGGCAGGCGAAGCCCGGAGACGCCCACTGAGCCCGCAGCCTGCTTAGATTCCTACTCCCAGCTCTGCTGTGGGCCCCGGGCAGGAAGGCAAGACAGCTGCTTCCAGCAGCCAACCCCTGTGCCACTTCGGCGACGCGGGCTTAAGTTGGAGACCCTCCCGGGGCGCCCATACTTGGTAATTAGCAAGTGGCAGCCCAGTTGGTCCCCTCTCCAAAAGGTGGGGCTATCCGTTTATTCTTGCGTTCTTTGGGACTTTCTTTGGGGAGCCTGATAGTGTGACCCAAGGCAGGCACAGGCTGGGCGAGAGCTGCGCGTCCCAAGGCTTCCACTCCACCGTCACCCTCTTCGACCTTCTGTCACTTACTCCTCATAGTGCGGGCAGACAAGCTTCTCTTTCGCGGGCGGGGGGTGGGGGGATGTTGAAGGGCCAGGACCGGCCTCACGCGGCCCTGGAGCCATAGGCCTGGCCCTTACCTGGGTGCCAGGCGGGGAGTGAGAACCCCTGCTGGCTCTGCTGCTTCTGGGCGCCCTGGTGTCTTCAGGGGCAGCTGTCTCCTCATCCCAGGGAGTAGGTACTGACTAAAGGATCTATTCTGAGTGAAAAGACCTGGAATCCTTTCTCTTATCACTTGATGATCTAAGGGAAAAATAGGCATCAATCAGGTGCTGAGGGCAGCCTTGGGCCTCACCAGGGAGCCAGGTGTCTGGAATCTGGGTGACACTGAGGTAGCCTGCAGACTGTCCCCCCATGCCAGCAGCTGCTGGTGGCCCCAACTTCCTGGCCATCAGGAGCCAGGGGAGGCTGATTCAGCTGGGAGGGTCCAAGCGAGGAATGGTTCTCAGTCTGGTTTGTGCAAATGTTTTGTTTTTATTTCCACATTTATATCACAAGGTGTCCACTTACTGGACCAAATAGCAAAGTTGCTCCTTCTACGTCCTGAGGACACAGAAGTCTAGGTACTGTACATTCACTAAGGCTCTTCGTTTTTGCAAATCGCGTTTATGACAAATAACCATAAGGCAAACACATCTAAGGGAATGGTTATGAGTGTCCCGGCACAGACGGCCTCCCTGCTGTTCGCACCTGCTCTGCTGGGGGCGGACAGCTGGCAAGGCTCTGGAAAGGTGAAGTTCTCTAGGCATGTGCAGGGAGGGAGGAGGACAGAAAGGGTGAGGGAAAAAGGTATTATCTGGCTGGTGGTCAGCTGAAGAGAACATAAAAATAAACTCAAGGAAACTGAAATTTCTGCAGCATTTCTTTAAGAATGGGGGTTCAACTGAAACCAGACAGGAATGGGTGGGTGCCCGTGGAGTGTGGGGTATGCCGGCCAGCCAGCCTACCCACCCGATGCCAGCGGCTCACAGACGGGCTGGGTGGAGAGCAGAGGCCGAGGCCAGCCCACCATCTCACAGACACTGGGCTGACTCGGGAACAGAAAAGACAGAAAGACATGAGATGCGTGCGTCTGTCGCCGATAAAGGTAACCCTCTCCCACTGCGGTCCTCTGCCTGCCTGCCTGCCTGCCTGCCTGCCTACCGAAGGGCCCTAGGCGGAGCCGCATATGACCCCCCTCTGGTGGGCAACAGGCCTGATGCCTGCACAGCTGGTTGCCAGAGTTCTGAACTCCCCTGGCTGTCCTTCCTTCTGCGCAGTCCTTCCTTTGCAATCATGTTAGTAAACTGATAGCAGCATTTCACAAAAGAAGGAGAGTGTGGAGGGAAGGGCCAGAGGGAGGCCCGCACCCCACCCGTACCCCTAGCCCGAGGTGGGGACAAGCTCCAGGCTGGCCTCAGTCCAAGCACACGTAAGGCAGAATGTTCAACCGCCCGTCATCACCGTGCGGGTCGAGCGCTATGCACTGCGTCCAGTCATACCAGTTACCCTGTGTGTCCCGACACCCATTCACCCCCGGCCACTGGCCAGCCTCCAGGCGCTCCAGGTCATCCTGCGTCACCTCTCGGCTCAGCCCTGGGAGAGTGGCGGGCGGCGCGTGGGGTACCAGCACGTGTGGCTGCCGGGCCCCGCGCCGTGAGCTCTCCTCCTGCCGCAGGTACTCGGCCATGAAGTGGTGTGCACCCGGGGTCTGTGCACCTGACGACGACAGCAGGCTGCTTTGGCGGCTCAGGTACGACTGGATGATCTCGTTGCGGGACAGCTCCTTCCAGTTTGTCTGCTCGAAGGGGCTCTGGAGGCTCACCTTGGCCTCCTGCTTTTCCAGGTCTGTCCGGGGTGGCTGCTCTGTGAGCGCAGGGCTGTCAGCCCGTGCTGGCTCTTTCTGGGTCAGAGGTCTGATCTGTCTGGTCATTGGGTCAAAGGTGAGCTTGCGCTCTTTTAACCGGACAGGCTTGACACCCGTCTCGGCCACCTGCCCGTCCAAGTTCACCATATAGTCACGAGACCGGTACCTCTTCCTCTTCCGACTGTCCGAGCCACCTGAGGAGGCCGCATCGCTGTCTGCCTTGGAGGAGTCCGGGGAGAAGCCTGAGACGGGCAGGTGTGGCTCTGCGGGGGGCAACCCAGCCTTGCAGCCTGGGCCTGCCAGCCGCTGGTGTCCCTCAGGCTGCTCCGGCCAACGTGCTGGACTCTCTGCACTGGGCAGCAGCTCCATCCGCCGTACAGGGGGTGTGGACGGCTGGGCTGGTGGCAGCGGGGATGGCACCTGCGTGGCCTCCAGCACTGAGGGCCGAGGCAAAGGGCTAGACACAGAGCCCTTGGGCGTGTAGGGGCTCCGATGTCGGGCAAAGGAGCCCTCCTGCCGTGAGTTCCGGGGGCTGAAGGAGCAGCGGGATGGAGCCCTGGGGTGGGGAGGGCCAGGGGTCTCCTCTACCTTAGCCTGCAGGCAGGGCCCGGGGGGCCGGCCGAGTCCTGGGGAGCCAGGGTGCGGCCTCACGGCGTTCACAGGGACCTTGCCACTGAGCTGGTCATTCTCGTCGGCCTCCAGGCGGCTGCCTTCAGAACTCAGGAGCCCACTGCCATCTACGGGGCTGGGGAAGCTCTCCGGGCTCCCGCTGATCCCATTGGTAGGACGAGGAGAGCAGTTGGGACCCAGGAGGTCATGGCCAGCCTTGGAGACCTTGGGGGGCGGGCCGGGGTGGCCGAGGTCACGCTGGTCCCCTCGGCGCTTGCGGCTTCCCAGCCTGTCCAGCCGCGGGCCTGGCAACCTCTGGAGGTCATTTCGGTGCTTGAGGTCAGGGATGCCCTTGGGCACAATGGCCCCAGGCTCCGGCCGGCAATTGTGAGCACCCCCATTGGCCCCACGCAGGGCCGCCTCGCTCTGCTGAGCTGGCTCAATGAGCTTCTGCCAGCTTCGGAGCAGCTTCTTGGCCCGCTTGGCGAGCTCCTCGTTCTTGGTTTTCTTGCGAACGTCGTTGACGAGCTTCCCGAGTCGAGTCTCCTAGGAGCACATGCGGTTAGTGTAGGATATCCCACCCGGGGCTGCCCAGACTGGATCCCGTGGCTTCTGGACCACAGGGGCTTCTGAGGCACCCAAAAGGGACTGGAAACAACCCATGTGGCATGGACAGCGCCAGCCAGTCCACAGTACTCACCTCCAGGGCCTCTTTGGTAATGGGGTATCTCTCCAGACTGGAGATGACTTCCAGCACCGCGACCATGTTCCGGATCTGCAGGATAAGAGCTGTACGTCAGGCTGGCCTCCCTCGCTCCTGCATCTGCTCAGCGTCCCTGCCCCCATGTTTATGTCAGGCGTGGGAGCTCAGCCAGACATACCACAGCAAGGTGACAGTGACCAGCACTCCGCCCATGTGCCTGCTGCTCACCATGCCCCGTGTTCTCTGTTGCCACGGGCCAGGTGTCCCTGCTGTCACATGCTCACACAGAAATGTCCCTACCATGACCTCACATCCCAGGAACCCTACACAGAAGAAGTGCCCAGGCCCAGCCTGGGGACTTGGGAAGCAGACTGTGCAAGCCCACAGAAGCCCAGCCCCCCGCCAGTGCTGTGGCAACAGAGACACTCTGCCTTCCAGATGCTGCTGCACATACCACTCTGGGGAATCTCACAGACAGCCCCAGTGAGGGGGCCTGGGCTGTGGCCAGGAGCCTCTCAGGCATGGGAAGTACTGGGGAAGGGTGCTTGTGTTAGTTGCTTTTCCACTGCTGGTACCTGCCTGACGTGCGCAGCTTAAAGGAATAGAAGTTAACTCAGGCTCATGGTTCTGGAGGTTGTAATTCATAGTAGACTGGCTCCACGGTGAAAATGGCATGGTGCAAAAGGGCTAACAGGAAGAGCCAGGAGAGACGCCTGTTCAGGTCATGCCTCTGAGACCACCAAGTTCCTCCAGCCAGGCTTTACCTCTGAACAGCTATGGTCTCATCCATGGACGAGTCCACCAAAAAAATCAATGCCCAAGATTTAGTCACTTCACTGGTCCCACCTCTGGATCCTGGGGTACTGGAACCAAGCCTCTAATCTTTCAAGTCTTTGAAAGATGCTTCATATTTAGACAGCAGCAGGCATGCCACACCAGGGATCACACATGGCATGCCCCCCAGCCATGTGCAGAGGGTGTGATGGCGCCTGGTAGGGAAGTCAGGTCTCTCGAGGTGGCTGTGGCCTTCTTCCAGAGGGTACTGGGATCTTGGCCCCTCCCTGGCATCTGCCACCATGTAGTCTCAGCATACCACTGAAGCAACCAATCCAATAGGACCAGACTTCTAGACTATATACCAGAATGTACCTCTCTAGCTCAAGTGGACTCTCTGGGGACTTTACTGTGGTACTAGCAGGCTCAATACAGGAACATCTGAGGGACAACACAGGATACACAAGAGTAACACATCTCAAATGACAGCTCTTGTGTGGCACACCGAGCCCCTTGGATGGCTGCCATCTCTACCCATGGTGTGGCCCCGCCTGTGCTTGCATACAGCTCGGCTCAGAGGACTGGAGAGTGGGGAGGGGTGCACTCTTGCAACGGCCTGCGAGTTGAGTGTGCAGCTGCAGGTGGGCACCCACCGGCTCAAGGCAGTCCTGGTGTGGGGGCGTGTGCGCACATCTCAGTGGTCAGCTTCCCTTTGTGACAGGTTAGGCCACTTCCTGAAGCAGTGTTGTGGTGTGGACACAACCATGGCATAATTCAGGCAAAGGTGTCAGGTGCCAAGAACGGTTGTAAGCTGCCACCTACTGAAACCAGAGTTACCATATTCTCCCTACTTTTATATGTGAAGTTTGCCACAAGTTCAAACAGGCAGAAAGCATTCCTCCTCCTAGGTTAGAGATTTCCCCAGATCTAGAAGGAACTGGCGAGGGGACCAGAGGTGAGGCCTGCATTTCAACTTAAGTGAGGAGTGCTACTCTCTCCCAGCTGCCATGGGCTTCCTGACCTGGGATTTGAGCGGCACAGCTATCCATTTGGGGTGCCACAGGGAGCTGGCCAGGCCTTGGGTACAGCCAACACACCACTACTCACCACAGGTCTGCTCCGGTGTGGCCCCAACTTCTGGCTAAGCATGGAGCCCTTGGTCCTTTCAGGAAGGCCTTCAGGGGATGAAGACATGGGAATGCTGGGGCCTGGGGGCTTCTTGCAGAGGGTTGCAAGCCATGTCTCTCTACCCAGGGGGGCACACACAAGTCCCAGAGAAAGGGCAGCATGGCATGTGGCTCATCTATGAGGCCTCTCGAGCACTGGAGGCCAGGCATGCAGGTCTTGGGCAGTACTGGTGTAGTCACTGCTACACCTCCCTACGTCTCCCAGGCCTGACCCACCTCCTGTGGCCACAGCTGTTGTGCAGGCAGGCTGGCTTTTAAAGCCCTGGCTGAGTAATTCGGCCCAGTGGGGGATTTCCAGCTACAATATGAAAGAAGGAACTGAGACACCAAATACAGCATCCTGCAGCCCTCAAGGGCTCCACTCAGCTGGGAAGTAGTGGACGTGACTTCCACTAGTCTGGCACAAGCCTGCCCACCAGCATAGCCTTCTGATGCTTTTCTAGCAGGGCCACAGTCCTGCATGCACATGTCCCCCAATGGACAGGTGGCAGAGTGCTTCTGAAGAGATACAAGGCCACACCAGGTACAGGGCTGTCTCTGCGTCTCCCAGCATGCTCAAGAATCCATCAGGGAGATCCCGGCCAGGCCACCACCACCACAGGGGTTTCAGTCCACAGCCAACACTCGGCCCATCCGATGCCTGCACCTCTGCCAACACTCCCTCCACCGCCGCACTGGGCAGGTATGGCCCCCATGACCCACTAGTCCACTTGGACCCACCTCCTGGGTCACAGTGGACGAGGTCAGCAGCCCCCAGCGGGGGGCCCTAGCAGCACTGTGCCTGTTAAAACTGGCTCATTTTTAAGAGGCCATGGGTATTGCCATCATTTAAAGAAGAAAGAACGATCTAGATAAGAATTTACGATATTGCCTTGCTTCACTCACGAGGCTCCAGAAGTGTTCATCTGCAGGTGCACACCTTCCCAACACAGAGGCACACAGATGGCGCTGGAAACCGGTAGTCTGCACCACTGCAGTGAGCAGGGGCCCAACATACTCTGGCTGGCCGCCCACACCACAGCTGTACCACAGGGGTGTGGCTACACACCCGCCACCAGAGGGAGTCCTGCTGCTGTGGCTGTTCCACCCATATCCCCAGCAGCTGCCTCCGTCCCCCAAGGCCTTGGCTGCAAGTCCATTAGAGAGGTGGCAGTGCCACAGCCCTGGGTGTGGTGGGTGGGCACAAGCGCCGCCAGTGCTCTCTGGGCTCAGTGTGCCTCCTTTTCCCTGGGCCCATGAGAGCCTCACACCCTATGGGTATGTCCCAGCCCCCACCAGCCTCCAGCCACCATGTGCAGAGGTGCTTCTTTGGCAGCAGGACAACCAGCTGGAGCCCCTTGTCATGTACTCATGCAGACTGCAGGGCGCCCGGGAGGCAATGGGCAGAGCTGAGTGTGCCACATGGAGGAAACCAGGCTGGGGCAACCCGAGTGGTGCAAAGGGACAGCATCCTGGTGGCTGTCGAGGGAGCCACATGGGTGGACAGGGCAGGGATGGCACAAGCCCCATGGCCACCCCGAATTGCTCTGTCTTTTCCTACCAGACTCCACGTACCCTGGTGGTCTTAAAATTTGTGTAATTCAGTCTGACCCTCATCTTCTCCCCATCCACAGTGTCCACGTGCACTATCTTCCTGCTGCTCTGCTAACTTCTTTGTTGCCTCTTAGGGACACTAAGAGCTGACAGCTCCTTCCATGGGACATCATTGTTCTCTTGTCACCCTTGTTGTCTGTGTCTTGTGGAGCTGCACCTGGAGTCACTGTCTGGCCTACCTGGGGCCGTGGCAGCACTGTTGCTGTGCATGCAGGCAGGCAGGCTACATGGAAACGAGGGACCCACTTGCCAACGGACCGTGTCCCCCAGAAATGCACCTACATCCTGAATTTGCCAGTTGAGTGCATGTTGTAAATTGAATGCTCCCCATGAACCCCAGCGCAGGTCCAGGAGCAGTGCTGACCCTAGACTGTACATGGATGCCACCTGTGTTCTCTTTGTCACTTTCCCCACTGCCTCATTGCTGTCACCATCGGTACCTTGCTTGCAAGCTTGTGGTCTGGCTGTTGGTGTACTCTTCCTGGTGTTTCCCTGATGCTGTCAGGGTGCCATGCACTTGGCATTGTGGGCAGTAGTTCATCGGCCCCTCCTCGGCATGGTGTGTTCCCATTGGTGCCAGTCTGCAGTGGAACCTTCTGTGCCTTGGGCAACAGTGGCCTCTGTTGCAGAGATAACTGCTGGGAATGTCCCTGTGTGCAATGCCATCCCTCATGCTCCACACACAGCCTAGGAGCTGCAGGCATGGGCTGAGGGCCAGGGCACCCCCCTGCAGTCCTGTGTGGCTCTGTGCACTTCCTGAGCAGCTGGAGTGTGTGAACACTGATCTCGGGTCTCCCTGTGCACTTGCCACTCACTTAAGAGCCCTGCAGGAGCTTCTGTCACTATCCCCACTCTGTTGCTGAGGGAGGCAAAGTGCTGGCTCAGGACTACTGAGCCCCTGGCCTTGGGGCTGTCTCACCACATACCCTCTGATGGCTGGTGCTGGTGCTGCAGCAGACCATGAGGGCGGGCTCCCAAAGTGGGCCCAGGAGGGAGGTAAGCAGGCAGCACCTGTTCCTATGTGCTGACCTGGGCTCCTTCTGTAGGGCGGCTCCCTGTCCTCCTGCCCCTGCTTCCTGCAACCCGTGGCAGGGCCTCAGGGGCTGTGCCCTTGCTGCTTGGAATCCACAGGCTGGGTTGGGGAGCCCTGTCTGTGGTCAGTGCTCAGGAAGGCTTTGATGGGGCTATGGAGTGTGCCAGGGCTCTAGGACACAGGTCACCTGGACAGACAGGGGAGCCTCTCTCAGCCTTCTCTCCATGTCTGTGCAGGCTCCTTCAGGAAACACTAGAGGGTACACAGGGATACAACCAAGGCTCAATTGCTGGGGTGGAGCAGTGGTTGGCACATAGCTCCGGACCTCATGTGGCAGTTCTGTCGGCTCTGGCTGGTGCCTGGTCTTGCTCACATTGACCCTGGGCTGGCACAGGAGGCGAGGTGGGCACCCTTACTACAGGTTTTGTCCCTGCCTTTGGGACCCTGCCTGCTCAGCCCCAGCCTGGTTCTGACCCACACATACC